CAGAGAGAAGCTAGGAGTTTTGAACTGCTGGCCTGTGATGAGCAGCCCACCGTGGAGCCACTGTGCCGCCAGGAATCCTCCTTGCTAGGTAATTCGGTAGTTAAATCCTAAGGGAAGGAAATCATCCTAGTTTAACAAAAGACATTGATTTGCCAAATTCGGGTGTTCAAAGATCGACTTTGAGGCATGACTTGCAACAGGCAGTGAATAAGAAGAAATGAACAGAAATTCTGGGCATTCAGGAAAGGAAACTATGGGGGAAAAAAGATGCTAAAGGGAGGGTACAAGACATCATTTACCAGTCAGGTAAGAGCTGTTCGATGAAGGTAGGACCCTGTCAGAGCTACACCGGTTACCATCCAGTCAGTTGAGCTTCAAGACTACCCATGGGTTTCAGAGTAGAGTTGTGTTCCATAAGGTGTTTGTTTGTTTATTTGTTTTTCCCAGAAGTAGGTTGCCATAGCTTTCTTCCGAGTGTCCCTGGATGGACAACAATCTTCAATCTTCAGGTTAGCCACTGTGTACATAACAGTGGAAATCTTAAGACGAAGAGAGCTTCATATTCCATCCCGGGTCGTGCCCCGTGTTTCAGGGAGGTGGTTACCTCATTGGCGCAAAACCAGCCGTAAACTCTGCTTCGCACGTCATCACTCAGTTGGCACCATCAAATGTGGTAAGACTTGGAAGTGGCTGGAGGGGGAAAGTGGCGGCCCTCAGAAAAGACAAAAAGATGCTTAAGTAGAAGAAAGAAGAGGAGGAGGAGGACAGAAAGAAGAAGTGTGGTGGTGGTGGGGGAGGAGGGGGAGGCAGAAAGAACCAGCAGGACCAGAAAGCCAAAGCCAAAAGTAACTAGGGAAATAGTAGCCCTCTCAAGGATTCTAGAAATTGGGGGGGGGGGATGGAAGCAAGGTGCCAGATGATCTATTGTCTAGGGAGGGTAGATTCAGCTATGTTTATCCAAATCTTAAACAACCTGGCCTCAACCAGCTCAAGGGGCCAGTCCCTGGAGAGGGACATTCTGTTTGGTAAAGTAGAGGGTCAGTTCAAAAGAGAAAGAGGCTCAACAAGATGGACGGATGCTGTAGCAGTCATGAGGATGGAGCGGGTCTGGGCAGGGCTTCCCTCTGCTGCATACAGGGCTGACGACTCAGCAGCACCGAGCAGCACGACCCAGCCCAAGGGTCTAGAAGTCAATATAATAAAAGCCCACGCAACCCGAGCTCTAGAGTCCCAATTACGGTTTCCCTCGATTCAGGTGGCAGCCTGCTGCCATGTCAAGTCATCATGGAAAGAGCTCAAGCAGGTCCAAGTGTGGGCTTTGGGATCACATGGCTTTGGGTTCAGGTATCAACTGCATAACGTAACAGGGATGTATCTTCTAGGCATCTATTTCCTTCTCGTGATACGAAAGCTAACCGTAGCACCTGTATTAGGCACAAGGATGATGACTGTATTGCATATGCTCTACATCTTGAGAAGATTAAATGAGAAAAGCGTATGAAGCGCTTATCCAGGAGCCTCAAACCAGTTGCCATTGAGTGGATTTTGACTCACGGTGCCCTCACGCGGATCAGCATCACACTGGGCTCCACAGGGCTTTGTGGAGGCTGGGTTTTCGGAAGTAGAATTGCTTTTCTGCTGAGGCCCTTTGGAGGGGACTCGAACACCCATCCTTTCAGTTAGTGTAGTTTTGGCCACCCAGGAACTCCAACGTGGTACCGAAAGTATACGTTTATCTGAAAACGGGATTCTCTTTGTGTCCTGTTTTTCATCATTCCCTTTCCGATCTCTTGGTGGAGAGCATATTGTCCCCTCCCTCTCCCCCATGCTTTTGCCACTACAAATACTATGAGGGAGTCTTCAAAAAAAATTCAGAGAAAAACAGAATAGACAGACCAGGGGATTCTTCCACGAACTTTCTGCAGCTCACTCAGACCAATTTGTATCCCTTCATGTTCACTTTCAGTGCTGGTAAAATCATGTCCTCCTCACAGCCAGACGCTCAGTTCAAGACAGGGACATCCATGCCGTCCTCAGGGACCAGGGGCTAGCGGACTGATGAGGCCCACCAGCAAAGGAAGACCGGAGGTCTTTAGAGGTCTCAGACAGAGTCCCGCCTGGACAGACACGGACCTCATCTCATGCAATCAGAAGAGGAAATCATCCTCAACACACCAGGAAACCGGACATCGTGAGGACACACGGTAGAGGGACACTCTCGGCAGAAATTTGAAGAATCAATTACTTTGTTCTTTGACCTGGAAATGGTCACTCACCCAAACATTTGGGGCAGCACTGTCCGGGGGGGATGTGACTAAGGTGCTGAGGACAGGAGAGAATGGGACAGACTTCTCTCACGCACTGTGTCCTGCCTCCCTAAAGAAAAGAGAGAGGGGGGAAATGGGACATTTAGAAAAGTAAGCATACATTCATTGTTTAATCAAGATGTTTCAGATATACCTAAGGTCCTGCTGTAGTATCGAGTCTCTGGGGTGAGTGCTTAGGGTGATAGGATTGAACACCTGTGGGCCATGCAACCTGTCACTGCAAAGGGACTAGCCCATAGACAGATTCCAACACCACCTTCATTCGCCAGGCACTACCTGCTATTAGCATGCTGTTCCTTAAAACTGCCTTTGGAGTAGGTGGAGGGGACCCAACGGTTTGGGTTTGCCCAAGGTGGATGTGGTACCTCCAGAGTTAAAATCCGGTCACATCCCAGGCACACTGGGACGAGTTGGTCAATTGAAGAGCTCACTGTGTGTGTGCTGAAACCCACACAGCCCTCCCCTCCCTTCATGAAAGACAAAGGAATCCTTTGGGCTTTAGGGAGGTTCCGTTCTTCTTGCAGGCCTCCGTCCTTCTTCAGGTCCTGCATCCCTCTTCCCAGGAAGACTTCCGGTTGAGCCAGAAGCCTGAAGCTCTCCTGCAGGCAACTCAGTGAGCATCTGACTACAGGAAGTGATCAGCCTACTAAAACTCAATACCCTGAAAGCCCATTTCAGAAAGGACATGTCCCTGAATTCGCCCACGACTGTGCATGCTCCCAGAGGGACTAGCTGAGATTCAGAAGGAGGCCCGAGGGAGACATTCTGGGGCCTGGGGAAGTTTTCCTTGGCTCTCATTCTCCGTACTTTCGGACCTCACCACGCCTTTCTCAGGCGGCAGTCCCACCCTCTGCCCACTTTCTCAGCTGCTGTGCCTCCCCACCTGGAACGAAAATGCAGCATGCTGACTGGCTCCATCTTCCCTTGCCAGCTCCCCGATGTGTGTTGGAGGAAAACTGGGCTTCATGGGGCTCTCAAAATCGGGAGCTTTGGAAGTAGGACACCAGGCCTTTTCCCAAGTTGTCTCTGGGTGGA